GGAAGCCTGCTTCTCCCTCTCCCACTCCCCCTGCTTGTGTTCCCTCTCTCGCTGTCTCTCTCTCTGTCAAATAAATAAATAAAATCTTAAGGAAAAAAAAAAAAAACAACCAAGTAGGTTTGCCTGTCAGAGAACGTACACCGTTTTATAACACTTTCCTAACACTGCGTTCTGTGAAGATCCGGCAGCTTCCTTGGCCGGTGACCCTGCCTGATTTTCAGTGTCCTTGCCAATTTTTTGGAACAACGTTTTGTTTTCTGGTTTAATAGTTGCTTTAATGAGCATTTTTAAAGTAGCTTAGCAGGACTGAGGACTTCTCCGACGGGAGTCCTCTTATTCCACATTTAAACTGTTGGGATCAGTCGACCACTTGTCACAGTAATTTCGTACACGAAGAGGAGAGCAGGCACATTGAGAGACAGACGGCCCACGGCCGGACAGAGTTGGGAGACTCCAGTCCAGGCTCCTTCCTGCAGTGTCTCTCACGCTGCACCTGCTGTGCTCACTCCTGCCTCCCCCCCCGCCCCCCCGCAGCGCCCAAGAGAAGTGGCAGTTTCTAAACTTGCCATCTCATGAGGTGGTCCCAACCATCTTGAAGACCAATCTAAAGAGCAGGAATATTTCCACAGTTGGTCTGTCCACCAGACGATTGTGGAGTGACCACGAGTGCCCAGAGGGAATTCCAGGCGCTGGGGACAGCAGGAGCCCGCAGCGTCCTTGCATCCATGGGCCCTATGTGTCCAGTGATTTGAAATCTGCTTCTCTTTAGTCGGATGAAACCAAACCTAATCTCTGTCCCTTGGAGCAAGACAGAAGCGGGCGGTATCCTCCCCACACACTGGCCCTTGAGATGCTTGACGACCCCGCTCCTCTCTCGCCTGAGCATTCCCTGTCCCTTCCCCGGGTCCCCAGGTGAATGGTTTGTAACATACCTTTTATCATTTTACCCCAAGAGATACAGAAAACACGGAAACACATTCAAATACACGAGAAGAGGAAAATAGAAGTGGCCCATAATCCTCCCAGTCTATGCCATTTTCTCAGCTTGTTTTCTATTCAAATTGTTTTGTCTTTTTCTGTTTTGTAACAGATTGTTGTTTTCTCACTGAGTAGCGTGGCGTGAATATCCGTTCATGTCGTCAGATATTTTCCCACGGTTTTATCTTAAATGCTGTGCCCTAGAGCATTGAAAGCGTCCTGTGGTCCCCTGCGTGCCCTTTTGTCAGATGCTAGGTTGTTTCTAACAGGAAACACAGTGCTACTGTTAACTGCTTTACCAGCTACCTCTTTGTACACATCTATATTTATTCCTTTAACATCCCAGAAGTGGAGTTGGCTGCAAGGAAGGATTTGTACTTTGCTAAGGTCTTGGATTCTATTTTTCTGGCTTGGCCTTCTGAGAGCGCCATGGATGGTCTAACCATAAAGCCTGGCCCACAGTGGTCACCTTGTCCCAGACCGTCCCTCCAAGGGCCATCCCACGGGGCTGGCCTGACTGGGGTCCCTTCTCCCCCTCCCCCTTTTCTCTGTGCGCAAAGCCGCTGGAGTTGGAGGGCGTGGACCTGGCCCCTCTGCCCCAGCGGGCTGTAGCCCTGAGACCCGCTGAGTGCTTCGGCCGTGCCCTCTGATGTCCCCACATGGCCCTAACCTGTGCTCTCTCCCTCTGTTTAGACCTGGGGCTCGGCGCCCTCAAGGTACCTAAGGAGGCTGATGAAGGAGGCAGGGCCACCTGTGGGAGTGCCAGGAAAGGAAAGCGGCAGCATGCTTCCCCCCAGAACCCGCTTCTGGACTGCAGCCTCTGTGGGAAGGTGTTCAGCAGTGCCAGCTCCCTTAGCAAGCACTACCTGACACACAGCCAGGAGAGGAAGCACGTCTGCAAGATCTGCAGCAAGGCCTTCAAGCGCCAGGACCACCTGTATGTAGGAGTGTGGTTAGGGGGCTGGTGGGGAATGGGCGCGCTGCTCCTGGATCTCCCTCACACCCCCTGCCAGGCCACCAGGCCCGCCCTCGGCAGGGGTCCCCTCCTCCCCAGATGGCTGTGAGCTGTGCGCGGAAGCCCCCTCCGTTCTTCTCACACTGCCAGCCCTCCGAGCCGTGGGGCTCGCTCTGCCGGGGACAGGTCCCTCTGCCCGGCCCCCATGTTCACACCAGGGAGGAAACCGCTGCTTCGATTGCAGGCAGGACCCTTGAGGGTTTCAAGACACACAAGGACTCACTCCCAAGGCAATTTTGTCATACAGGGAATTGGGCTAACTTTATAGAGAAATGTTCGGAGTCCCCGGCAGGTGTCCGAGGAGGACAGATCTGCATCTCATGAGGAGTGTGTGTGGGAATAACTCAGGGGGCCTGAGAGATTCTGAAATGCCTGGCATTGGAGCATTAACGTATTTTTTAAACTCCTTTAAAAAAAAAAAAAAAAAAAAACTCTTGATTTAAAAAAATAAAGCCTATTGTAAGAGTTAGGAGCCAGAATTCCCTTTGTTCTCAGTATCTTGGAAATGATGAGCTTTTCTTGCTAGTGAGGCTGGAAAGGCAGACTTTTTTTTCAAACCCAGACACTTGCCAGTGGGAGATGGCAAGACCTTGCATTTTTATGATGCTCCTAACTAGAAACTGGGTCTCCCGACTCGTCCTCTGCAGCTCCCCTCAGAAGGGCTTTGGGGGGAGGGCTGTATTATTTACTGGAGATGACCCCATGTGCCATGGGGATTAGACTGGCCAGGGTAGGACTGTTGGGAACCTTAGAGCGGGATTTACTCATTTGTTTATGCCTACGATATGTTAACATAGCTGGAAGTATGACGTAAACGTAGTACATATTCGTATTCGTTTATAATTGCAGAAATTACAGGAGGCACATTTGGCTGTTTGCTAGAAAGTTTTTACTGATGGGGCATCTGTAAATTTTTTTTCCCCAGGGGTAGGTTCCAGGTAGGTGTGTCCTTAGAGGAGTGCTATGGGAAGGCAAAGACTCTTTGGCTAAGGGAAGGGTCGTGCTCCATCCAGTAAGTATCTCCTCGAGTGAATCCTGCAGAACGTTGGTCCTCAGAGATGCTAAAAGGGGCTATTTGAATAGATGGTTCTGCGGGCAAGTAAGTTTGAGAGACATGGGAGGTGAGAGAGACGTCTGTGTACTGTGTGGCTCTTAAATTTGCTACTCTGAACCTCCAAGGAGCAAAGAGTGTTTTTTTCAAAACTTCCTTGCCAGCTGAGCCCATGTCCTCAGGGAGCAACTCTGGAGGACTGGTGTTCCTTGGGAACTCACTTTGGGGAACGCCAGTCTGCCTTTCTTTGATTTTTTTTTCCCCCCCTCCAATAAGGGGTTTGCTGAAAGGTTGGGGAGAGGAGAACCCTTTGTGTTGCCCTGGCCCTCGGAGGGGCCGCTTGGGTCTTTGCTCATGGGGGGGCGAGTGTAGCTTCTGACTGGTAACATGGATGCACCACTGCCCCTTGGGGACCCACTTGGGGTCCCGCGGCGAGCAGCGGCCCAGGTACCTGCTGACTTGCTCCTCCCGTGTGGCTCCAGGACCGGGCACATGCTCACCCACCAGAAGACCAAGCCGTTCGTGTGCATCGAACAGGGCTGCAGCAAGAGCTACTGCGACTATCGCTCCCTGCGCCGCCACTACGAGGTGCAGCATGGCCTGTGCATCCTGAAGGAGGCCCCCCCGGACGAGGAGGCCTGCGGGGACTCCCCTCACGCTCACGAGGCGGCCGGCCAGCCCACACCCGCTGGCCCGCGGTCCCTGGCGCCCCCGGAAGCCAGGTCCCCCGGCTCCCTCTTGCCCAACCGAGACCTCCTGCGCTGCATCGTGAGCAGCATCGTCCACCAGAAGATTCCTTCCGCCGTCCCAGCAGCCACAGGGCCCGCAGACGGCGGGGAGGGGAGGAGCGCGGCCTGTCCCTGCGCACCCTCTTCCGGGCCCTCCTCCTGCACCCCGGCAGGCATCCCGGCGGCCCCCGGAAACCTGGGCACGGACGTTCCCGAGGAGCCTCGTCCCCCCAGGAAGGAGCCTGCCGCTGCCATGTTCACGGCCGTCCACTCGAGAGCTGTGGAGAACGGCAGCACCGACTCAGCCGAGTCCGAGCCCCCTGTGCTCCCGCTGCCGCCCACCCTGGAGGGCTGGCCTGAGGGTGGCCCCCTGCCTGCCTGCCTGCCTCTGTTCCGAGGCCAGACAGTGCCTGCCGGTTCCCAGCCAGCCAGCCACAACTTCCAGTGGCTCCGGAACCTGCCCAGCTGCCCCAAGAGCAAAGGGAACAACATGTTCATGGTCCACAAGGCCCCGTCAGTGCCGTCCCAGGAGGGCTGCGAGTCAGGCCCGGGGCCCAGCAGCACGTCCCCCGCAGGAGAGCCCCCGCCCAGCTCGGGTACCACCAGTCTGGAGGACACGTTGCCCTTCCCTGCCACGCTCCTGAAGGCACCCGGGGAGGCCTCCGGTGACTCCCGATATGCCGGCGGGGAAGACGACTCCTGGGTTTCCAAGAAAAGCAAGTTTGACTGCGACTCTTTCTCATGGCAAAACCCTGGGGAGCCGGGCCTCCAGGATGCCCAAAAGCCGAGCGGGCTCCCGTCGGATGCCACGCCGCTCTTCCGGCAGCTCTTCCTGAAGTCCCAGGAGTCTCTGGTGAGCCATGAGCAGATGCAGGTGTTCCAGATGATCGCCAAGTCCCAGCGGATCTTCTCCCAGCTCCCCGGGCCTGAGGGCAAGCAGGCCGCCCTGAAGCCACTGCCAGGGCCATGGCCACAGCAGCCCCCGCCGCCGGCACCCCCTGTCGACTCTCTCCATGCTGGCCCCAGAAACCCGGAGCTAGAGGGGTCCCCAGCCCGCAGGAGGAAAATCACGCCCGCTTTCCCCCGGGAGGCCTCCCCAGCCAGCACCAGACGGGACTCGAAGGGAGGACCCAAAGTGGCCACCGCTCCGCCGTCCCTCACGGCCTCATCGTTGGACCCTCCCGGCAATCCAGACATCTCCTCTCTGGCCAAGCAGCTGAGATCCACAAAAGGGACCTTGGACCTGGGGGACATCTTCTCCCCCGGGGGCCCGCGGCAGACCCAGTTAGGTGGGGAGGAGCCCCTCGGAGCCCAGCTCCCAGGGAAGCAGGCCCAGGCAGAGAATGACACAGCATTGGGGGCCACAAAAGGTGAAAAGAGCCAGGCCTGCGCCCGGGGCGGAGGCTACAGGCTCTTCTCAGGCAACCTCAGGTCCCAGCGCTTCTCGGGCTTCCGGAAGGAGAAGGTGAAAATGGATATGTGCTGCACGGCCTCCCCGAGCCAGGTAGCCATGGCCTCCTTCTCGTCGGCTGGGCCTCCGGCAGAGCCTCCCCAGGACTCCAAGTCCAAGCTGACCATATTCAACAGAATCCAGGTACCTGGGCTCTCCCTCACGAGACCCGACACCTGCTGGTGCTCTGGGCCGGAGTCTCATTCGTGACTTGCTCCCGCCTTTATTGGTTGGGCAGGCATTGTGTTTCATCTTAGGGGCTCCTCCGGGACAGTTTTAGATAGGCCGGAAGGAAGGTTCGTAGAGATTGTGGTTCCTCCTGTCACCCCCACCCCCCGAAAGAGCTGAGAATGAGGTCTTTAGAGTTGTCAGAGACATTTTCTCCCTGAAGCTTTTCCAGCTTGCTTGCTTTTTGCCTTTCACTTCCTTTTGGATTGGCCTCCTTAAATTCTTCAGAGGATATAAAGGTAGAGATCTCGCCTCGGAAATATTTCTGCGTGTGATGCCGTCTCTCACCTGGTGGGAGTCACGGTCCCTTCGCTGGCCGGCACCTGCCGAGTGGTAGTAGCTCAGTCCTTGCGGTTGGCACCGGGTCTGGGCGCTCTTCCTTACCACGGCCCGAGGTCCAGCATCCTTCCCCTCTCCCCACAGCTGCCTCTTTTTTTTTCTTAACAGCACGTATCATTTAATTCACCATTTTAAAGTGTACCCTCCAGTGGCGTTCAGTATATTCACAAGGTTGTGCATCTGTTACCACTCTTTGCCAGAACGTTTTCATCACCCCAAAAAAGAAGTCCCACACCCTTAGTTGTCGGCCCCAATCTCTCCAGCCCTCCCGGCCCCCGGCAACCATGAATCTACCTTCTGTGTCGATGGATTTGCCCCTTCTGGACATTCCATATAATTGAAATTATACACCACGTGGCGTTCTGTAGTCTGGCTTCTTACACTTAGTGTGGTGTTTTCAAGGTTCGTCCACATTGTGGCGCCTGTCAGTGCTTTGCTCCTTTTTATGGCTGAGCAATGTTCCACTGTATGGTAGTGTCACATTTTGTTAATCTGTTCATCAGTTGATGGGCATTTGAGTTGTTCTCACTTCTCAGCCAGTGTGAATAGTACTGCTGTGAATGTTTGTGTACAAGGTTCTGTGTGGACATAGGTTTCCATTTCTCTTGGGAAATACCGGAGTGGGGCATTCCTGGGTCATATGGCAACTCTGTGTTTAACCATCTGAGGGACTGTGAGACTTTTCCAAAGCAGCCACACCATTTAACGTCCCCACCCACAATACAGGAGGGCTCCAGCTTCTCCAAATCCTCACCAACACTGCTTGCTCTCTAGGCTTGTTATCCCAGCCACCTTCGTGGGTGTGATGTGGTATCACATCGCCGTGCTTTGATTTGCATTGCCCTGGTGGCTGATGGTGCTGAGCATCTCTTCATGTGCTTAGTGGCCATTTGTAAATCCTCTTGAGTTAAGTGTCTTTCAGATCCTTTGCCCGTTTTTAAATTGGCTGATTGGACTTTTTATTACTGAGCTGTATAGGAGTTCTTTATGTATTATGAATACAACTCCCTTGTCAGGTATGTGACTTGCAGTGATTTTCTCCCATTCTGAGGGTCATCTTCTCACTTTCTTGATGGTGTCCTTTGAAGCACAGCAGTTCTGAGTTTTAATGAAGTCAAATTTGTCAGTTCTGTCTTTTCGTTTCAGTGTCATCCAAGGCCCCAGTGCCTCCTCCAAGGTCACGAAGAATTACACCTATGCTTTCTTCTCAGAGTCTTACAGTTGTAGCTCTTGCATGCCTCCTTTCCAATATGTTGGCTCAGATGTATTTTCATCTTCAGGGTGGAAATATCTACCGGCTCCCCCATCCGCTGAAGGAGGAGAACGTGGCAGGTGGATGGTAAGTTCAGAAGCCATACCCTGCCCAGCCCGGGGGTGCTCAGCCCCTCTGATTCCTCTGGTGGCTTTCATGTGCTGGGCCTGGGTCACCGAGTTCTGGATGCTTCAGTCCTGAAGAGGTATGCACCCGGCCATGAAGAATTGGGGTATTCTCTCTCCACTTCTTAGGGTTCATCAAGAGTTGTCAGTGGATCAGACTTAAAAACAAACAAACAAAAACAAAGAGAAATTAGTGATGGGGACAAAGTTCCATTCTCCCGTTCTTCCCTCCTGCCATGTTTCCCCACAGTAACCAGCAAAATGGGGGCCCTGCAGACTGGGCAGAGCCAAGGAGCACTTATGTCTGCAAGAATTGCAGCCAGATGTTTTATACAGAGAAAGGGCTGAGCAGTCACATGTGTTTCCACAGTGACCAGTGGCCGTCACCTCGAGGGAAGCAGGAGCAGCAGGTGAAGGGGCGCGTGCAGTCGGCTCTGTGCTTGCAGGGTTTCTGGCAGGCTTTCAGGGATTAGGTGACGGGATGTCATTTATCTCAGGACGGAGATGTCCCGCTGGGGGAAGCGTGGGCAAGGGGCCAGGAGTCAGGGCTGTGCTGCTCCCGGGGGTGGGGGCGGGGGGCCGGCACTGCAGGCTGGAGCAGCTCTTCCCCTCTTGCCCACCCGTTAATCTTAAAAAGCCATCGATTCTCTGCATTTAGGTGTTTGGCACGGAGTTTTGCAAGCCATTGAGACAGGTGTTGAGGCCAGAGGGGGACGGGCAGAGTCCCCCAGGAGCTAAGAAGTCCTTGGACAACCCGGCTGCAGCCTCTTTGGGGATCCCTGTGCCTGTAGTTCCAGGGAACCGACCCACTGGGAGCTCCGCCAAGGTGGGTGCGGGTCAGGCTGCTTCCTTCCTGCTGCTTCCCCCACCTGCTGGCGGAAGCTGCGGGGGGCGGGGGGAGCCCAGACCAAACGTCAGAAAAATAGCTGAGTCTTGGGGAGCGCGCTCATTCAGTCGTTAACACGCTCGGAGCGTCCTCGGCGCCTGTCTGTGGTGGCGGTGCTGCGGACCCTGGTGACTGCGCCCCCGCGCCTGCCGGTCCAGTGGTCAGTAGACCTGTCCCCAGACAGTGGTGCCCCAGTGTGCGCCAGGCTGTGAGGGGGAGCAGAGAGAGCTGAGGGCATTCTGAGGGGCACCAGGGACTCCGCCTGGAGAGGTCAGGGGTGTCTTCCTGGAGGAGACGGTGTGGGAGCTGAGACCTGGAGGAGAGGAGGAGTGAGACTGGCAGAGAGGAGGGGCGATTGCATGGGGGTGAGAGCGTTGCAAGTTCAAGTGACCAGTCCCTTCAGGCCATACCAGAGCATCTCGCTGGACAAGTCTGTGCTGGACTCGGGGACGAGGTGCATGGATGCCTTCGCTCGTCTCAGGACCTGTCGCTGGTTCTCCTTTGGTCGTGCTGTGGCGGTGTCTGGCCCCCACTCTCTCGGGACCAGGCAGTTTAACAGCTGAAACTGGCCTCACCTGTTCCCACCTTTCCCTGAGTCAAGGCCTCTCCTTGAGGGCACGGGTGCATGGGAGGGCTCCAGTGGCTTACTTAGGATCTGGGGTCCAGCTCGGGCACGGGGGCCCTGCTCGGCTCCCTCTTCTGAGGGCCCCAGGCATGGATGTGCCGGGTTGCAGTCGTGTGTCCCTCTGTCTCTGGAGTCCGTCCTCTTTTCCCACTCTCCTGCTATCCTGAAGACTGAGCTGTGTGGTGGGTGGCCTCAGGTGATCCCCTGAGTCCTGAACTCTTTTCTTTCCCAGGGACAAGAGAAAGACGGGGAAGAGAGAGATAGCAAGGAGAGCAGCCAGCATAGGAAGCGGAAGAAGCGCCCCCAGCCCAAGGCATTGCTCGCCCCTCCTCCACCCTCTTCATCTGGGGAGCCGGGCCTGGGAGGATGCCACCAGAGCTGTCTGCGGTCTCCAGTGTTCCTCGTGGACCGCCTCCTCAAGGGATTGTTCCAATGCTCTCCTTATACGCCGCCCCCGATGCTCAGCCCCATCCGGGAGGGCTCGGGACTGTACTTCAACACGCTCTGTTCCACCTCTGCTCATGCCGGTCCCGACAGACTCATCAGCAACATGCTCGGTGAGTGACACTGGGCATCATTATGGTCTCTGCTCCGCGTGTGGCAGGCCTGCTGGGGGCCAGATCCACTCTCTCCTGCTGCACGGGGGCCAGACATTCTCTCCGGCCCGTGGCTGTGCCTGGTGTGTGAGTCCTGCTGCTGTTCGGAGGTATCCCAGCACCCTCTGGGACCGGCAGCCTTCCAGGTGCTTGGAGTTTTACAGCCAGAAAGAAAATGCAGAGACTGTTCAGCCTGCCCACCCTTCTGCCTGCCTTTTGAGTAATTTTTAACAGTTTCGCCGGAATAGAATTCATAAACCATATGAATCACCCATTTAAAGTACACGGTATTTCTTTAGTATATTCACAGGGTTGTGCGCCCATCACACCATCTAATTTTAGGCCTTTTTTTTTTTTTTAAAGATTTTATTGATTTATTTGACGAGAGAGACACAGCGAGAGAGGGAACACAAGCAGGGGGGAGTGGGAGAGGGAGAAGCAGGCTTCCCGCGGAGCAAGGAGCCCGATGCGGGGCTCGATCCCAGGACCTTGGGATCATGACCCGAGCCGAAGGCAGACGCTTAACGACTGAGCCACCCAGGAGCCCCTAATTTTAGGCCATTTTTGTCACCCCCGGAGGAAGCACCGTATCCATGCAGTTACGCACACCCCATTGCCCCCATCTCCCCAGCCCTGAGCAACCACTAATCTGCTTTTCCTTTTTTTTCTTTTTTTTTTTTTTAAGATTTTATTTATTTATTTGAGAGAGAGAGAATGAGAGACAGCACGAGAGGGAAGAGGGCAGAGGGAGAAGCAGACCCCCTGCCGAGCAGGGAGCCCGATGCGGGACTCGATCCCGGGACTCCAGGATCATGACCTGAGCCGAAGGCAGTCGCTCAACCAACTGAGCCACCCAGGCGCCCTAATCTGCTTTTTCTATGGATCTGCCCGTTCCTAGTCATTTTGTATAATTGGAATCCTACAGTGGGTGACGTTTTGTGTTTAGTTTATTCACTTAGCATCCATGTTCACCACGTGGCATCACGGCTTCATGCCTCTTTATGGCCCAATAATATCTCATGGTCTGGACATAGCGCATTTTATCTGTCCATGCGTCAGTTGGTGAGCATTTGGGTCATTTCTGTCTTTTGGCTACTGTGAATAATGCTGCTCATGAACATCCGTGTACGGATTTTTGTTGGACATATGTTTTCATTTCTCTCGCGTATATTCCCGGGAGGGCAATTGCTGGGTCATAGGGTAGCTCTATGTTTAACCACTTAAAGAGCTACCGGACCATTTCCAAAGTGATGGACCCATTTTAAATTCCCACCGGTGTCGTATGAAAGTTTCAGCTTCTCCACATCCCTGTCAACACTTGTGATCTTTCTTCTTACATAACCATCCTAGTATGTGTACAGTGGTTTCAATCTGCATTTCCCTGATGGCTATTGAGACTGAGCATCATTCTGTGTACTTACTGTCCATTTGTAATCTTTTCAGATCCTTCTCCCATTTTTTTAATTGAGTTGTTATCTTTTTATTACTCAGTTGTAAAAGTTTCTTTTTTTTTTTTTTTTTAGTTGTAAAAGTTTCTTATATATTCTGGAATTAAGCCCTTTATCAGATATACGGTTTGCAAATTCTCTCCCGTTTTGGGCATGGTCTTTTCATTTTATTTGTGGTCTTGTTTGCAGGACTAAAGTTTTTAATTTTGATGAAATCCAATTCATTTTTTGTCACTTGTGCTTTCGGTGTTGTATCTAAGGTTTTGCCTGAGCGGAAGTCATGAAGATGTACGTCTTTGTTTTCTTGTAAGAGTTGTATCATTTTAAGTCTTAAATTCATGTCTGATCCATTTTAACTTTTATATATTGTGTAGGGTGGGAGTCTAAATTCATTCTTTTGCATGTGGATATCCACTGTTCCCGCACCATTTATTGAAAATACTGTTCCTTTCCTTTTGAATTGGCCTGGCACCCTGTGGAAAGCCAATTGACCATAAATGATTTGAGATTTTTCTTCCTTTTTTTTTTAAGATTTTATTTATTTGACAGAGACACAGCAAGAAAGGGAACACAAGCAGGGGGA